TATGATATCACTATCTTGTATCACCCGGGGAAGGCCAATGTGTGGCCGATGCTTTGAGCCGAAGGCGGTGAGTATAGGGTGTTTGGCAATATTCCAGTTGGGAGAGACCTCTTGCATTTGATTTCAGGCCTTGGCCAATCGGTTCGTGCGGTTGAATATTCGGACCAGACGGGTATTGCTTGTGTGACTCTCGGTCTTCCTTATATGATCGCATCAGAGAGCGCCAATATAGATGATCCTCATTTGCTTGTCCTTAAGGAAAATTTCAAGACGATGATGCCAGAGATGACTATTGATGATGGGTGTTAAGGATGCAGGCCGGATATGTGTGCCCAATGGAGATGGGCTTCGGGAGTTGATTCTGGAGGAGCCTATAACTCGCGTATTCCATTCATCTGGGTGCCCGGAAAAATGTATCAGGATCTGAGACAGCATTATTGGTGGAGGAGAATGAAGAATGATATTGTGAATTTGTAGCTCGTGTGCTCAATTGTCAAAAGGTGAAATATGAGCATCAGAGATCGGTGTCTTGCTTCAGCTGATGGATTATACCAGACTGGAAGTGGAAGCGGATCACCATGGACTTTGTAGTGGGGCTCCCACGGTCTTTGAAGAAGTTCGATGCTATTCGGGTGATTTGGATCGGTTGACCAAGTCCGCGCACTTCATTCCTGTGTTTACTACTTATTTCTTCAGAGCGATTGGCAGAGGTCTATATTCGGGAGATTTGTCGTTTGCATGGTGTCCCAGTTTCCATCATTTCAGATAGGGCACTCAGTTTACCTTTGCATTTTGGAGGTCTGTTACAGCGAGAGTTGGGTACTCAGGTTGAGTTGAGCACAACTTTTCACCCTCAGACGGATGGGCAGTGATAATAGGCTAAATCTAGGTGATTTAGCTATTGTTTATGCTTCCGCTTGATTATATTCCAATGTCATAATATGGTTAATTGATGAAAAATAGGCTCTAATTGTGAATTGTATACATTGCAGGATGAGGAGCTTATGTGATGCTTTCAAGAGGCTATTGGAATGATTTATGAGCAAGAACGACCCCTCGGAGCTGAGTGCGCGCAAGGACGAGACAAAGAAATGGAAGAAATGATGGCCCAGGTGCGCGAGCAGACGCGCGAACTCATGCGCGAGCTCGCGCGTGTTAGGGGGCTGAGGCAGAATGTTAGAGAAAACGCGCGAAGTTATGCGCGAAGTAGTGCGCGAGCTCGCGCGTTTCCCAGTCCGGAAAAGAATTGTTCACGGGCAAAATTGGAAATCTGGAGAGAAACCCACTTAACCTATATAAACTCAAGCTCGCCCAAGGTTAATTTATCAAGTTTTTCATAGGCTAGTGCAAGGTATCAAGAGGCAAGAGGCAAAGAGGAGATTTGACCATCAAGTTCTTGTTTTCTTCTCTCTGTTTTTGCTATTTGTGATGAAATTGAACCCTATTGTGTTAAACATTAGTATGAGTAGCTAAATCCCATTATTCTGGGGTCATGGGTGAAACATGAAAGTTGTTGTTTGACGTTTAATTCGACGAAGTTGGTTTGTCATATTAGATTGTTTATTTAATTCTGATTTTAATTATTTTGCTGAGTAGCTAACAGTGAAATACTATCTACGAATCTAGAGTTGAACTCGAAAGTGGGAATTTTAGATTGCATATGGAATTAAATAAAGCAAGTTCTTGAACCCGGGCCTCGGGGAACGGATTTGCAATTGGGATAGACATATACCCAATTGCCTTGCTTGGTTGGAATACAGGAATTGTAAATGCGTTCTTGTTAATCTTAATTCCATAGACATATAGGCATTGAGTTAGCTTAAATAGGCGAGTAAGAACTCGACAGATTCTTATGAGTAATATAAACCCTGTCAATCAACAATCCAGATAGATCAATTAGTCGTTTTAAGCCAAGAACACAACACGATTGTTAACTAGCCTGTGACCCTGGAATATCTTCTCCTACTGTTTATTACTTGAACTTGCTACTCGTTTGGTTAATTGCTATAGTTAGATTATTTCTTGATAGTTAGGTAGTAAAACAATTACATCTCGATTTTGTGAAAAACCTCTTGGATAAATAAAGTAATTGAGTTGAATCAGTCAACAGTTAATCATAAGTCTTCGTGGGAACGATACTCTACTCACTAATCTATTACTTGACGATCACGCGCACTTGCGTGAGTGTTTTGGTCACAATAAGTTTTTGGCGCCGTTGCCGGGGACTTAGAAATTAGCTACTTGACTGAGTTGAGCTTTTATTATTTATTTATTCGAGTTTTAACTTTCAGTTCACTTTGTTTGTGCTAATACAGGATTTTCTATTGAATGCGAAGAAGTAGAAGCGCAAACAATCTCCTTCCTCTCGATCCCGAAATTGAACGAACACTTCACAGATTGAGGACGGAGGTGGACGCCAGAACCAGAATTGAAAGAGAGTTGGACATCATAGTTCAACCACAGCCAATTGAGATGGCAGGTAATGAGGAACGCGTGGTGATTGAAGCCGCAAGGCCCAGTCTAGCTAATATGACTCAGGCTATCATGAAGCCTGATATCACTGGGCACTTTGAGCTGAAACAACACATGGTACAGCTGATCCAGTCCACAAGGAAATTTGTGGGTCTACCTCATGAAGACCCGCAGAGGCATATTGAGAATTTTCTGGAAATTACGGATACTTAAAACTATCCGAACGTTTCCAAGGACTATGTCAGGCTGACACTTTTCCCCTTTTCTCTGATCGGGGAAGCTAAGGAGTGGTTGAATAAGGAGCCGGCTAGTTCAATCCGCACTTGGAATGATCTGGCAAGGAAATTCTTAATCAAGTTTTTCCCTACCAAGAAAACAAAGGTGTTGAGGAGTCAAATTCTTGGGTTCGAACAACGAGCTGGCAAGACACTTCGTCAAGCATGGGAAAGGTACAAGAAGTTGCTCAGAGACTGTCCTTACCATTTCCAGACGGACGAGGTATTGGGTCACACTTTTGTAGATGGGCTAGATGATGCTTCAAAGATGAATCTCGATTCAGCTTGTGGGGGTAGTTGCATGGCCAAACCGTACAGTGAAATCCAACTCTTGCTTAATAACTTCACTGCTAATGATAATAACTGGCAAGGTGATGGTGACTCACGAAAGGCAGTTAAGCAAAAATCAGCTGGGTTACTTGAGTTCGACGAGGTGTCAGCAATGAGAGCCGAAATTGCAAAGCTGGCCAATCAGATGACTAGGATAACAATGCAGCAGCCACATCCAATGCAACAGGTACAACAGATGACTATTTGCTGCGAACTGTGTGGTGACACTCATATGAGTGATATGTGCCCCACGAATCCAGAATCCATCTATTATATGGGGCAACAAAATTGGGGTCCACCGAACCAGCATGCACAATACGGGAATTCTTACAATCCAAATTGGAGGAATCATCCCAACTTCTCACGGGGTGGAAATCAGCAGAGTCAGAATCAGTATAGACCCCAAGGGGGTTTCAATCAGCCTCAGAGACCACCCCAACAAATGGAAGAGAGCACAAATGTTTTACTAAAGAAGTTGTTGATTGACAATCAGCAGCTCAGGACCGACTTCAGAAATCTTGAGAGGCAGATGGGGCAGTTAGCAACAAATCAAAACACAAGACCTGCAGGCGCTCTCCCCAGTGATACAGAAAAGAATCCGCAAGTGAATGCCGTTACACTTAGAAACGGGAGGGAGCTTGAGGAAGTGCCAAATAAAAGGAAAGATAAGCCCATACCTGAGGGGGAGTTGATCCCTAAAGTGACAAACGAGCCAAAGAAGACTGCTGAAATTCTAGAGCCACTGGAGGCCCCAAGGCCACCACCACCTTTTCCCCAGAGATTGTAGAAAAAGAATGATGATCGCATGTTCAGCAAATTTCTCTCCATGTTGAGCCAGGTTCAATTGAATATCCCACTTGTTGATGTGCTTCGTGAAATTTCAAAGTATGCTAAGTACATAAAAGATATAGTGGCTCACAAGAGAAGATTAACTGAATTTGAGACAGTTGCACTTACTGAGGAGTGCACTTCTAGGGTCCAAAATAAGCTCCCTCAAAAGCTTAAGGATCCTGGCAGCTTTACAATTCCTGTGCGCATTGGTAATATTGATGTGGGTCGTGCTCTTTGTGATTTTGGGGGAAAGCATAAATTTGATGCCCCTATCATTGTTCAGGCAATTGGGTCTGGGAGCTCCAAGAACAACTACTGTGATGTTGCAGCTGGCTGATAGGTCGATAGCACACCCTGAGGGGGTGATTGAAGATGTGTTGCTGCAAATTGGGAAATTTATCTTCCCTGCTGATTTCATTATCCTCGATTATGAGGCTGATGAACTGGTCCCAATCATATTAGGGTGACCTCTCTTGGCTACTGGTGACGCAATTATCAAAGTGAGAGAAGGAAAGATGATCTTGAGGGTAGATGACGACGAAGCAGTTTTCAATGTCTACAAAGCAATCCAACTTCCCCGTCACTATGAGGAGTTCTCCATGATATCTATTGTTGAGGCTGATGAGCAAATTCGTGATCCAAGTGTATATCTAGACGATTCTCTAGAGAAAGAACTTATGTTGTTTGATAGCTTGGAGAATGATGAGGAGGTCGAGGAGATGATGCACATCCTTGATACATCTTGTGCATACATAAAGGGGATACACCCCTTTGAACCTTTGAACAGGCCAGAGGGACCTCCTCCAAAGCTGTCAATTGAGGAAGCCCCAAAATTGGAGCTTAAACCTCTCCCATCTCACCTGCAATATGCTTATTTGGGTGACTCTGACACCCTACCTATTATTGTTTCCTCTGACTTGTCTAAATTGCAGGAAGAAAAGCTGTTAAGAGTGCTACGTGAGCACAAGCGAGCAATTGGGTGGACTATGTCTGACATAAATGGCATTAGTCCAGCCTTTTGCATGCACAAAATTCTCATGGAGGACGGACACAAGCCCAATGTAGAGCAACAACGACGACTCAATCCAATCATGAAAGAGGTGGTAAGAAAAGAAGTGATTAAGTGGTTTGATGCAGGTATTGTATTTCCTATCTCAGACAGCAAATGGGTAAGCCCCGTCCAATGTGTACCCAAGAAAGGGGGGATGACTGTAGTAGTTAATGAGAATAATGATTTAATCCCTACGAGAACTGTCACCGGGTGGAGAATTTTCATTGACTATAGAAAATTGAACAATGCCACCCGGAAGGACCACTTTCCCCTCCCCTTTATTGACCAAATGCTTGATAGATTAGCTGGCCAGGAGTACTACTGCTTCTTGGATGGTTACTCTGGGTATAATCAGATTTCTATAGCCCCAGAGGACCAAGAGAAGACCACTTTTACGTGTCCTTATGGCACGTATGCGTTCAAGAGAATGCCCTTTGGTCTTTGTAATGCACCTGCGACTTTTCAAAGGTGTATGATGGCCATTTTTACTGACATAGTCGAGAGGTTTGTGGAAGTATTCATGGATGATTTTTCGGTGTTTGGATGTTCTTTTGATAACTGCTTGATGAATCTTGATAAAGTGCTTGCTAGGTGTGAAGAGACTAACTTGGTGCTAAACTGGGAAAAGTGCCATTTCATGGTACGCGAAGGTATAGTTTTGGGGCACAAGGTGTCCAAAGATGGTTTGCAGGTGGACAAGGCAAAGGTGGAAGCGATTGAAAAATTGCCTCCACCGATATCTGTCAAAGGCATTCGCAGTTTCTTGGGCCATGCAGGTTTTTATCGTCGTTTCATTAAAGATTTCTCAAAAATTTCCTCTCCCTTGTGCAGGTTTCTGGAGAAGGATGTCGCCTTTAAATTTGATGATGCCTGTCTGAAGGCATTCAAGGAGCTGAAGGGAAGGTTGGTGACTGCACCAATCATCATTGCTCCGGATTGGGAGCAGCCATTTGAGTTGATGTGCGACGCGAGTGACTTGGCTATTGGAGCTGTTTTGGGGCAAAGGAGAAACAAAGTCTTCCACTCCATCTACTATGCAAGCAAAACTTTGAATCCAGCTCAGATGAATTACACAGTCACTGAAAAAGAGTTGCTTGCAGTGGTGTGGGCGTTTGACAAGTTCAGGTCATATCTTGTGGGGACCAAAGTCATCGTCTACACAGATCATTCAGCTATCAGATACCTGTTTGAAAAGAAGGACGCCAAGCCGAGACTGATTCGGTGGGTCCTACTCTTGCAAGAGTTTGATTTAGAGATCCGAGATCGCAAAGGAACAGAGAATCAAGTGGCTGATCACTTGTCCAGATTAGAAAATCGGAATCATGTAGCTGAAGGGGGTGTAATCAAAGAAATGTTCCCTGATGAGCAGTTATTGGTGATTGCCTCAAGCACAACCCCGTGGTATGCAGATTATGTGAATTTTATTGCAAGTGGGGTGACACCACCAGAATTGACACCAGACAATAGAAGAAGGTTCCTGCATGACGTGAGGCTCTACATGTGGGATGAGCCATTCTTATACAGGCTCTGTGCAGATCAGTTGGTGCGGAGATGTGTTCCTGAGGAGGAAATGAGTGCCATACTTCATAGCTGTCACGCCTCACCATACGGAGGTCATCACGGGGGAGACCGGACCGCCCAGAAAGTGTTACAATCAGGTTTCTATTGGCCAAAATTGTTTAGGGATGCACACGCCTTTGTTAAAATGTGTGACAGGTGCCAAAGAACCGGAACGATCACAAAGAGGCACGAGATGCCGCTGCAAAACATTCTGGTAGTGGAGCTCTTTGATGTGTGGGGAATAGATTTCATGGGACCGTTTCCACAATCTAATGGTCATAGGTACATCTTGGTGGCAGTCGACTATGTTTCCAAGTGGGTGGAGGCCATTGCTCTTCCCACTAATGATGCAAAGGTGGTGGTGAGCTTTGTCAAGAAGCACATCTTTACACGCTTTGGAACTCCAAGAGTATTGATCAGCGATGGAGGAACGCATTTCTGCAACAAATTGCTGAATAATGTCCTTGCAAAGTATGGAGTCAAGCACAAGGTGTCCACTGCCTATCACCCCCAGACGAGTGGTCAAGTGGAGGTGTCAAACAGAGAGGTAAAGCAGATTCTTGAGAAAACACTGAGTGCAAATAGAAAAGACTGGGCCGGGAAATTAGATGACGCATTGTGGGCATATCGAACTGCGTACAAAACTCCCATAGGTGCTTCTCCGTATAAATTAGTTTATGGGAAGGCGTGTCACTTGCCCGTCGAGCTTGAACACAAAGCCTATTGGGCAATTAAAAAGCTGAATATGGATGGGGACTTAGCTGGAAAGAAGAGGTTGCTGCAACTCGATGAGCTTGATGAGTTTCGATTGCACGCGTATGAGAATGCCAAATTGTATAAAGAGAAGACTAAGAGGTGGCATGACAAGCACATTCAACATCGAGAGTTCGAGCCAGGGCAAGAAGTTCTTTTGTTCAATTCGAGGTTGAAGCTTTTCCCCGGAAAGCTTAAATCTCGTTGGTCAGGCCTTTTTGTTGTGGTAAGTGTGAAGCCTCATGGAGCTATGGAATTGCGAGATATGAGTTCAACTGGTACCTTCTTGGTGAATGGTCAAAGGATAAAACATTACTGGGGTGGTGACTTTGCACGTCACAAGACCTCGGTGGACTTGACGGATGCTTGAGAACGAGTTGAGTCATGCCGCGACGTTAAATCAGGCGCTGGATGGGAGGCAACCCATTGAATTGTTGTAACCGTTGTGCCACGACGTTAAATAAGGCGCTGGATGGGAGGCAACCCATTGAATTGTTGTAACCGTCGTGCCACGACTTTAAATAAGGCGCTGGCTGGGAGGCAACCCAACGATAGTAGTAGTGTTTGATTTTATGTTTTAGCACACTAACTAATGCATGTAACGAAGGGCAGGTGAAAAGACCATCGACCGAGAGCAATACAGGTGAAAAAGTACAAAAAATGAATGCCCAGACGTGCGAGTTCGCGCATATGTTCGCGCATCTGGGCAAACATTCTGCCTGGGAGCGCGAAGGACGCACGAGTTCGTGCATTTGTTCGCGAAAAATTCTGCCTGGGACGCGCGAAGGACGCGCGAGTTCGCGCGAGCCCGTCGAATTTCCGGCGTTTTTGTGTGTTTTGTTTTCTTTTAGTTTTTATTTCTTATTTCTTTATCTTATTTGGTTAACTTATAGACTAAAATCACCCCACCCCTTCTCATAACCCACGATCCCCCCCTCTTATCTCCTTCTCCCATTTACACAAAACAAAATCAAACCAAAAACCCCTCATCTCTCCCATCCCTCATCCAAGGCAAAACCCTTTCTCCAAACGACCCCAACCTTCAAGTTCACTAGCAGCTTCCCCATTCTCCTTCACCACAGGTATGAGCCCTAGGTTCTTTCTTCTCTTTTTCTTTCTTTATTTTTCAGATTTGTTTGTTGTATTCTTATGCTATATTGTAGGAGTTGTACTTAGATGTTGTGTAGAAATTGGTGCAATGTGTTGTGGGGTTGGTTTGTGGTAAGTGTGGGGTGGGGGGTACTTCATTGGTGCTATTGTATGAGATTTTGTGGGGGATTCTTGTTCTAAAAAGCTTCAAAGGTGTTGTGAGGGCCTAATGCCCACAAGGTGTTTGTGGAAAGGTCCCAATGAGCATGATTATGTAGTTGTGACCAATTTTGCGTGTGAAGTCTGAGTAACCGCATTAAGTCACAATATTTTTGTTGGGCTGGGCTGATGAGTTCCCGTTTTGCAGGTATCATGGCACCACCGCGAAAGCGCCAAGCCACTGGCCCATCATCAAGCTGCCAAGCTGGCACATCTAGGACACAAGGGGCAGCACCTGTACGCCCCTATGACAGCAGCAAATTTGTTTCAGCTGCGGCTCAGACCCGCTTTACGGAGAAAGCCGCTAGAAAGCCCATTCCGGAGAGGGGCATTGACATCCATTCAGTCAAGGAGCGCTGCCCCCACATGTATTCGGAGTTGATGGCGCGGGGTTTGCAGGCCTTCATTGATGAGCCAGGGGAGGCTAATGTAATGGTTGTGCGCGAATTCTATGCTAATCTGCCAGAGCATATAGACAATGTGGTCACGGTGTGCCGCAAGGCGGTAGATGCATCCATTGAGGCAATACGCACAGCATATCAGTTTCCCGATCCTCTACCAGATAATACAGACTTTTATGAGTATGGCAAACATCCAACAGACCACAAGTGGGAGCGCTTCTTTGATGAAATTTGCACACAGGGTAAAATGGTGGAGTGGCTGGA